CGATGGTGTTTCCTTTTGCTCCACGTCATGTTTTTGAGGGTTCTTCCTTGTGAGTAGATCAGTAGTGTTGTTCCTTTATCGCTGCTGTGTGGTATTCCACGGTGTGGCTCTACCACAGTGTATTCACGTGCTCTCCCGTTGATGAGGCATCTGTGTTGTTTCTGGTTCAGGGGTGCTGTGAACATTCTAGAACATGCCCTCTGGTCCACATCTGCCATTATTCATAAGGGCGGAATTACACGGAGAGTAGCCCCAGGCTCCATGTGATGCCAGGTGGAGGTTGTCCGTAGGCTCCCCTACCTTCTTGACACATGCGTGTCCCGTGTCACGTGTTCTAGAATCCTTCCTGGATGAGGACTGAAAGCCTTGATTGTGGTCCTTGCAGCTGGTTTTAGCTCTTTCACTCTTGCTCTATAGACTTAACAAATGTTCTCTTTCATGGTGCCCAAGCACCAGACACCCATGCGGTCAGTGTAGACAGGGAGGCGCTGCCTGGGGGTCCTGTTGGGCTTGACACAGTTCACAGGAGGTGCTGTCGCCCCCTAGGGGGCAGTCTGCACATTTGCCCGGAGTTCTGATTGCCCTCCTTATTGTGGTGGCTCCTGGCATTGAGTGGGCAGGTACCATGGGTGTAGACTGTGACTGGATTAATCTGCCTCCTGGGTTGGTGCACAGGGTGGGAGAGGCAGACAAGTCCTGTGGAGTGTCCTGCACTGACCTGGGGAGATGTGCCCACCTTCTCTGTGTCTGTTCCTCTTGCTCACCCTCTGTCTCTCCAGAGTGCCCTTCCCTCCCACGCCTCCGCCCCAGCTCACTTCTGCTCTCTTCGCCTCCTCTGAGCAGCTCTCTGTGCTGAAGCCCAAGTTCACCACCCTCCCCCACAGATCGGTCTCATCTGAGACCACAGTGGTCACTCGGGCTGTGACATCCCCCCCATGACCTCTTGCCTCCTCTCCGGCTCATGCTGACAGGTTTCTTCTGGGTCCCTCGGGCCTCCCTCCCACCCCAGTGGCCAGTCCTCCATTCTGAGCCCGGCCCCGTGGGTCTCTGGCCAGCCTAGGCATCGGTCCCCCCGCCCCCCCCGCAGCCCTGGTCAGTCGTGAGTCAGGCGCCTACACTCTTGAGCATTTGCTGTGGCCGCTGAGAATGGTCCGCCTCAGCCATTCCATCAGAGTTTACACGAAGTGAACAAAACAGACCCGGCGCTCACCCCCTCCTGGCGGAGACAGGCAGCAGATAAGATAAATCACGTTTACAGCGCATCAGATAGTAATCGGCGCTGTGAAGGAAAGCAAAGCAAGGAGGTGGAAGTGCCGAGGGGGCGGGTAGGGATTGCAGTTGTAGACGGAATCGGGTTGAGTCTCACTGACCTGGTGACAGAAAAGGAGGTAAGGGCAAATGCCTACCAGACAGGAAGCAGCATGTGCAAAGGTCCTGTGGGAGGCTTGTGCCTGGTGTGGTAGAACAGTATCGAGGAGGCTGGTGTGGCTGGAGGGTCATAGATGAGGGGCAGAGTGTGGGAGACAGTGACAGGAAGTGGGGGCAGATGGTGCAGAGCCTGTAGGGCTATGGCAAGGACTTGGGCTTTTACTGAGGGAGGCGGGAGTCCCGGGAGGGCTCTGAGCAGAGGAGGGACCTGGGCTGACTGAGGTTCTCACGTGAGCCCTTTAGCTGCTATGTGCGGATGAGATTGTGGGAGAACAAGGGCAGGGTCAGGCGGACAGAGGAGATGAAGCTGGTAAGGCCACACAGGAAGGCCGAGATCCCCACGTGTCTGAGCCTTCATTCAAGCGGACCCTCGGGCACAGCTCAGGCCTCTCAGGAAGTCGGCCGGAGCTGCACCCCCAACACTTTTAGGTTCATTGAAGATTGTTGAGGTTTTTTGTTTCTATAATAAACTCTTTTTTTAAAATAATTTCAGATCTGCAGAAAAGTTGCAAGAGTAATACAGAGTTTTTGTATAGCCTGCACCTGGTTTTCCCTAATGTTCACATCTTACGACTTTACCGTGAAACCAACACCGTCCATTGCCATCAACCAACTGGAGAATGTATTCAGATCTCCCTAGTTTTCCCTTAATGCTCCTGTTCCAGGATCCTGTCCAGGAAACCACACTGCATTTAATCATGATGTCTCCCAAGGCTCCTGTTGGCCGTGACAGTTTCTCAGACTTTACTTACCGTTGATGACCTTGTTGGTTTTGAGGAGTACCAGTCGAGAGTTTTGGAGAACGTGCCTCACTTGGGGGTTTGTCTGATGTTTTTCTCGTGATTAGACTGGCAGTTAGGGTTTGGGGAAGGAAGACCACAGCGGTGAAGTACCCTTCTCCTCATGTCACATTAAAGGTACTACACACTGTCGGCTTGACTTATTACTGCTGATATTGACCTTGATCGCATGGCTAAGGACACAGCACTTTTGATTCTATGCTCCCAGCTATGAAAATGGTAAGCGTGTGACTAAGCGTCGATATATTTGCACGTATCAACTCATTTCTATGCCCACAGCTCTGTGGGGTGGACACAACTTGTAACCTGATTTTACAGAGAAGGAAACTGAGGCACGAGGAGGCTCTAATCGTTTGCCCAAGGTAACACATAAGTTAAGTGGCAGAGGTGGGATTTGAACCCAGGAGGTCTGGTTGCAAAGTCCGAGCTCTTCGCTGTCATCTGTTTATTATAAAGTACATATGTACACATTATGCAACCATCACCTCCATCTAATTTCATATAAATGGAATCATATGATATGTGAGCTTTTGTGTCTGTACTTTATTTTGAATCTTTTGGTCCCTTTTTGAGCCCCTTTTTTGTGCCCTCTGTCTCTTTTACGAGGATTAGTTTAGTTAAAAGTCAGTGGTATAATACATATAAGTCGACTTACTCTGGAATGTATTCTCAGGCTAAGGGACATCATGCTGCCTGCTTTGGGGATCCTGTGCCCTTCCCTGAGACACCTCACTCCCTTGACCACCTGTCACCTTTGCCCAGCATCAATCCATATATTGATTACCCGTCCAGCTGAATCTGTTTTATCTCTGAGGTTAGGGAATAAATAGAAATTGATGTTCTACCAACGGAACAGAACAGAGAGCCCAGGACGAGAGGCGGGCGTGTGTGGACATGACATGGGGCCGCAGTGGCCCCTGACTCTTAGTAAACGGAGCTGGTGCCAAAACAAAAAATAGTCATCCATATGGAGAGAGATGGAATTGGATCCCTACCTCACACCATATACCCCAAGATAGTTTTCGGATTCAAAGTCACAAATAAACTTAGAAACTGTTTAGATTTGGGGGTGAGGACAGATCCTGAAACAAGATACAAAGGGCATTTCTATGAGAGGAAGCCTTGGGGCCCTGCACATCTCTGGCCTGCGGGCTCCCCTGCAGCCTTTTCTCTCTCTGAGGCTCCGATCGCACGCACACACACACGCCCCTTGCCCTGGGTAGGGTGCGTTAACCCAGGTAATTAGTAGCTTTGGGACCCTCAGAATACCTTAGATAAAAATGTTTTCACTGAAGAAGGTGCTAGATCAAACCAGGGAGCTTGTATAAGGCTGTGTTTGCACATCCTGCCTGGCTGCCCTCAATTATCCACTCTGCCCTCCGATCCCGCTCAGATTCTGCAGGGCCCTTGATTCTGCTCTTTCCCCACCATCCCCTGGGCAGTTGATCCGTAGACTCTGCTGCTCTGCCATCATGTCAGGAATCTGGCCAGTTTTCACTTTTTCCCCCGCCACCTGTGTCTGCCCTCTGGGCTGCCTGCCCCTGTCCTCACCTCCTGCAATCCATTTTCCACTCAGCAGCCAGAGGGATCCTGTGAAACCCGGGTCAGATCATGGCCCACGCTGTTGAGAGCCGTCCTATCTCTCGGGCTCCTTCAGAATAAGCCCAGGACCTCACCTTGGCCCACCGGGCCCTCCATCGCCTAGCCTTCGACCTTGCCTCTTCGACCCCTCTTCACCTCCTTGCTGTTGCTCAAGCACCCCCAGCACATTTCCACCTCAGGGCCTTTGCATCTGCTGTCCCTTCTGCCTCAGATGCCTTTCCCCGTGTGTCCACGTCGCTTCTGTTCTTCTCTCCACGTCTGCTCAAACACCTCTTATCTGGGACGATGTCCTGACCACTTCAGCTAAAAATGCATCCCCCTCCTTCCCTACCCCCTTCCCCCGCCACCTTTCTCCTCCATCCTTGCCATTGTCCACTCTGCTGTATGTCGTATGTCTCCATGGTTGGACTCCTGCCAGCAGAACGTTACCTCCGGGAGAGCAGGGATATCTGTTGTCTTCACTGCTGCCTCCCCAGCGCTGCTGAGAATGACACAACCTTAAATAAAATGGAATCATTTTTTTGGCCACTGAGTGGGGAACCAAGTTTAGAAGGAACCGGAGAGGAAGCAGGAAGGCAGTTAGCGACTCCCCCGCAGCACTCCAGGCAGCGCTCATGGACATCTTTACATGGACAGTGCTGGTTGCAAAACCCAGGGAAGGATGGGGGATTTATTAAGAAACAGGAGGAAGCGTGGTGTCTTGGAGCCATCGAGGTTAGCTAGTTCCTGAAGACAGCTCCGCTCTGGTGAGAAATTAGAAAGCTGTGCTTGAATCCAGGAAGAAAAGCATTTCACGGCAGGAGGGTGGAGGGAGGGATGGCCGCTCGCTGCCCGCAGATGCTCGGGCATCCAGGGTTTTCACGGACATCAGAAAGCTGTCCAGGCTTCGGTGTCCATGAAATCTGGGTTCAAATCCTGGCACTTTCTTTTACCACAGAGTAGCTTTTGGTCTGTGCACATTTGGCTGCCAGTAATAGTTTACCTGACCAGTGATGGCTTAAATAATATTCATATTTTTTTCAACAAAAATTTTTTTAACAAGTATCTTCCCCTGTTTAGATCGACTGTAGTTTTCTGTTCAACCTGTTTTCTACTGACGACCAGTGGATTGTTTCCAATATCTTGCTGTTATAAACAAGGACTGCCTACATGTACACCTCACAGTTGTACCTACAGGATACATAAGTGAAATTGATACGTAAGTGAAGTTCTGAGTAAGGGATGCATGCATTAGAATCTGGAGAGCCTCATTATTTACAGATGCCATATTTGTGAATTCATCTGCTTGCTCTGTAGTCATCCTTGCAACCCAACCATCAGTCCTCCCCACGCTGTCTTGGTCGTCTGCAGACATGCGCAGAGCGGGGGTAAAAATTTGAGCCTCCCTGTGTGCCCGTTCCTAGTGGAAATCAAAAAAGCAAACACTCTGCCTTCTTGTTTCACCTCCCATACTGCAAACAAGTGCCCTTTCATGATCTAACCTTTAGTGCCCTGTTTTTCACACCACCACTTGGTGGTGGTGATTTCACCGTTTAAAAAATGCCCCAAAGCCTAGTGCTGAGGCTCAGCCCAACGTTCCCAAGTGCGAGAAGGTTGGAAAGTGCCTCATGTAGAAAACACATGTGCTGGGCAAGCTTCATTCAGACGTGAGTTATAGTGCTGTGGGCCGTGAGTTCATTGTGAACGAATCAGCAATATAAAACAAGGTGTATTTAAACGGAAACACACATAAAACAAGGTTACGTATTGATCGCCTGATGAAAATGTGACCAGAGGCTCGCAGGGACCCAACCCTCGATTTCCCCCAGGAGTGATAGTTCAGGATTCCCTAATTCAGTGATCGTAGTAACTTTATAGAACTTAACTACCATGAATAATAAGAATCGATTGTATGGGCTTTTTTTTTTTTTTCTCTTACACAATAGCTGTGCTTTACTGGGATATAATTTACGTGCAACAAAATGCACACATCTTAAGTACACACCATGATGAATTTTGACAAATAATTACCCATGTAACCATTACCCAGATCCAGATCCAGAACATTTCCATCATCAGGGAAGATCCCCCTCCCTCTGTCCCTCCACCTGCCCCCTTGGGGCCACCAGACCTCTGATTTCTTCCCACCGGTTTTACTTGCTCAGAACTTTACGTGGAGGGATCACATCGTGGGTAGTCTTCTCTGACTGGCTTCCTTTGCTCAGCACAATGCATTTGAGATTCATCTGTGTTTTTGGACGGTAACAGTAGTATATTCCCTTTATTGTCCACTGTGTGGCTGTTACACAGTTTGTTTTTTCATTTACCAGGCAGTGTACATCTACCTGTGCTGTTTCCAGTCTAGGGCTTTTGTGAAGAAGGCTGCTGTGAAAATTTTTGCGAAAATGTTTTTGTACACATTCTTTTCACTATGGTCATAGAGTAGGTATATGTTGAACTTAAGTTAACCCAGGTTTTTCATCCTCTTCTGGAACAAGATGTCTAATGGACCATTCCAGGGATTTGGGGAAACTCAGTATTGCCAGGCTGCTGGGCTCTGATTCTTTTAATTTTCTCCCTCTGGGGCTCAAAATAGCTGCTGCAGCACCAGCCATTGTCGTCATGCTTCACATCAATTTTTCAAGCAGGAAGAAGGAGTAGGGGCAAATAATCTTCCCAATGTAGGGCTCTCTTTATCCAAATGTAAAAATCTTTCCCATGTTCACAACTTAACCGCAAAGGAGGCTGAGGAAGGAAGTTTCTGACCAAGGGGCAAAGGCCTCCGCTCGTAGTGACTCATCCTCGTGAGCGGGTGCATTGCTGAATGAAACCAAATGCAAGTTCTGTTGACCAGGAAGTCAGGCTGGGAGTGGCTTTGGATAATGGGCAACCTCTTCAGGCCTGTTGACCCGTGAGGCCACCTTGTCACTGGCTAGGAACCTGTGGCTTGTGTTCAGTATGAGAGCAAGAGCCCTGGGAAGAGAACGGAGACAGAAACTTGTAGAACAGCGGTTCTCCCGAGTGTGGTCCCTGGACCAGCAGCATCCGCATCACCTGGGAACTTGTTCGAAATGCACATTCCCAGCCCCGCCCCAGACCTTCTGACCATTAAACCTTACTTTAAAAGCCCTTCAGGTGATTCTGGTGCAGTTTCAAGTTTAAGACCCAGTGGTCTAAAGCATGCACAGTGTTTTGGAGCTTTTTTCTCTTTTGTTCCTCTGAGCTCCACTCGGTCCCGACCTCAAAGCCTTCCCTGTTGCCCAATGTCACGGGAGGCCCTGTGTCCAGTCAACGTAATTATTCCTTCTGTTCTCTTCCCCCACCCCACTGCCCGTTTCCCTCCTTCTCGGAATTTCTTCTGTTTTTTTATAAACCAGCGTTCAGAAGAAAATGTAAAACCTTTTGAGATACCTGATTTTCTTGGCAAGCCCGCAGCTTTATAGCTGCATTTAGAACAGCAGCGGATGGTAGATGGTGGGGGAAGAAAAGGCACAAAACATTCTAGTGTGTAACTACCTGTGTAAACTAGACTTTTAGGAACTAGACACCAGTCGCTTTATGAGCAATCCACGTTTTATAGGGCACGCTTTAATGTTGTTAAACTAATTCAATGATTTTAGAACTCTAAAGGTCACTGAAAATAAAGATGGTGTAGATTTTAATTGCTCTTCAAATTGCTTTTCCTCTCTCTTCCCCAAAGGGGTGGGAGTGTGTGAGGAATCAACATTTTTTCCCTGTTTTCCTTTTTTGGCTTTGAAAATAGACATAGCATGCCAGTGGCTACATATTCAGGGCCAAGTTAGCTCTTACTGGGAGGGCACAGTCCCCTAGTCTCCTTTGTGTGGATTAGAAGAGTCCTTTCTCCAGGTGGATGTTGCCCTTCCCTGGGTCTCACTGATGTGAGCAGAGCCTTGGCTGGATTTGAGGCCCCACTTGTCCCCATGACTTAATTCCTTTGTGTAGTGAACAACCTGTGCAACTGTACATGGTGGTTTGTGTATATATATTGTATACCCAGGATGGATCTTACAAATTTATGTGCTATACTAGTTTCCTGTGGCTGCGATAACAAATACCACAAACATGGCGGCTCACGGTTCTGGAGGCCACAAGTCCAAAATCAAGGTGTTGGCAAGGCCACCCGGGCAGTCAGAGTTGTGCCTTCTGGAGGCTCTAGGGAAGAGTCCTTCTTTAGCTCTTCCAGCTTCTGTGTCTTCCCTTGTGTCCGTGAGAAGGTCACTGGTCATCAGATTTAGGGCTCACCCAGACAATTTAGGATGATCTCATCTTGAGATGCTTAATTACATCTGCAAAGACCCTTTTTTCCAAATACGGAAGACCACATTCACAGGTCCGGGGTTGTAGACATATCATTTTGGGGAATTACTATTCAATGTGCTACAGATGCCCTGGGAAAAATCGGAAGAGGGCAGTTTCTGGGCATTGTGGCATGTGAGGTCCACTGCGGGAACTCATCACTCAGTGTTGGACCCAGGTGTGTGGGAAATGAGCTGAGTTTTCTGCGGTGCTTCAGGACAGCGTAAGGGGAAGAGGGCGTAAGAGGTGGGGTACTGAAGGTCCTTGCAGGAAGTGTACCCCTGGGGGTGCGGATGGGGGGCAGCTAGCCAGCCTGGCACCATCATGTAGTTCCCACAAGCTTGGGAGCCTGTTGGCCTGGGTTCACATCCTGACTCTGCCATTCTGCTAACTGAGTGACCTTGGGCAGGTTCCCTAACCCCTTTGTCTGCCTCGGTTTTGTCAGCTGTGAAATGGGTATGAGGATCGTGGCACCTTCTACAAGGGATTGTTGTAAGAATGAAATGTAGGAAGATGGAGCACTTAGAACAGCACCGGGCACTTTGTAAGTGCTCAGCAAACCTTGGCTTTGGTGATGAAGAGGATGATGAAGCAGGAAGTCGTGGCAATCGGGTGGAGGGGACAGACCTGACCACTTCCAGTGCCTGGACTTCCAAACACCAGGGAGCCGTGTGAGGAAGGCTCCTGAGCAGGGGTGAGCCTTGTGGTCGGGCAGGTCAGCCTGGTGGCCGGTGAGGAAGGGAGCCTGGCCAGGAGGAGGCAGGCTTTGTGTTGTCGTTTGTGTGTGGTTTGATTGATGTTTTTACTGGTGGACTTGAGCTGTCATTGCCCACTCCAATTTGTCAGCGCTGGGCAGAAATGTAGGAGGTGCTGAGTGACACTTGTGAGTGAATGAATGAATGAATGAATGAATTTAATAACATTAAATAACATTTAAATAACATTTAAAACACATAACAAGGGGCGCCTGAGTGGCTCAGTCATTAAGCGTCTGCCTTTGGCTCAGGTCATGATTCCGGAGTCCTGGGATCGAGCCCTACATGGAGCTCCCTGCTCAGCGGGAAGCCTGCTTCTCCCTCTCCCACTCCCCCTGCTTGTGTTCCCTCTCTCGCTGTGTCTCTCTCTGTCAAAAAAATAAAT